ACTGATGAATACTCCTATAGATCCTCTGTTTGTTGAGGGAATATTTTTCCTCCCTGGTTGGGAGGGCTGTATCACTTTTGTTTGCTCAACAATATGAAAATATAATTGTGACTTGTCAGGACATTTTCCTTATCTCTGCTGGGTAATGAATGCTGGGTAAAAAAGTACTTTGCAGAATGGAATGGTCATAATAATAATAAAAAAAAATTGTCAATATGTGTCATTGACTGACTGATCTGTCATTATTGTTAGGAGACCATGATAAAGCATTTAGAATAGAAAAACCTCATGCAAAGACACTTAAGTCACCTGCAGATGGTAAAAAGCAACAGCAGTGCAGTGTTTCTTGATCCTTTATGTAGCCATTGGAATAAGCAACCTCATTTCCAGCTGAAGATCCAGTGATGCACGTGTACTGCCACAGTATCCGCATCTAAATTATATTGCTCAAAAAGCAGTTCTCATGAACCTGTCTCATATAAAATATTTCAGATATAATGGGATGGTCTCGTGAATAGGGCTGAGTTAAGTTACTTCTGAGGTTTAAAATGGTTGGCTTTATTCCAACAAGAGTTAGAATCACAGCTTTCTCTAAAATGTTCATGTCTGCAGAGTAGTGCCTGAGATTTCTGAAGCAGGGCTCATCTTTATCACCAGAGAAAGATATTGTGCAGGCACTGTGAATGCTTTTAATCAGAAAGATGTTCTGTAGCAAAGATGTCCTGCATCTTCAATGGCAAAGTTGGCATGTTGGCGTTCAATTGAGCATTAGCTCTTCAATGAATCATTTTCAGTATGAAAAGAAAGCAGGCAAATAATGACGAAGGTAGTCATTTTCTGACTTATCTTACAGTTAATAGTTTGATCCAGTAAACTCCACAAGATTGCAGTAAGACTGCAGTAACATGCACAAGCTGGTGAAAGTTTGAGCCCAGGAAGTATGAATCTCCATCTTCTCAATTTTCACTTTTTTAACATTGTCTAAACTTTTAAGAGGCACATGAAAATAACCTTGGCTGAAAAATATGTTGCTAGATGATAGTGAGACACAGGATAGAGAATTGAGATGCAGGGCTCATCTGCTGAATCACCCCAATGCCAGGCACAGGTGCCCTTGTATAAACAGGCAGATTTGTTTGATCTGGCAGACAGCTCCACTTGGTTTCGTAAGTAAAAAGAGCCTCAGCTGGAGACTGAAGGAATTTGAAAACTGGAATTCCCCTCTGGAAAAGGGAGGAAGCCATGTTCAGGAGGATTTTTGGGCTTATCATTGATTATGCTAACAATAAAATTAAACCTAGAAAAAATGAGTACTTGTGGACAGTAGGTATGTGTTCACTTGATTTAGATTTAGAGATATCTTAATGTCTTATTTATAGCTTACCTTCATCTTGACATGACTACTGTAAAAGAAGAAAGACCAGAGGAGAGATGTGGTCAGCAGTTAATTTGGATTTTTGTATGTACCAAATCTGAACCTCTCACCATGAGAGGGATATCAGCAGAAGTGAAAGACTGGAGTGGAGAAATAAATGTTTGTAACCTCCCACTGTCAGTTCTCCTATGCAACTGGATGCTTTACGTTTCCTTGTGAATGGAATGGAAATGGTGACTTGCATAATGTGCTAAGGATCTCAAGCTCACATCGTTGGAGGATGTTAACTGGGCAGAGGCACAAGGTAACAGTCTTTATCCTGTATCAGTGAACTCAGTAGGAGTATTCAAATTCAGTTTGATGAATACTGATCTCTAGAGGGAGGGCTGCCAGGATCCTACTAGCCAAAATCTGTTCTGACTTCCATTGTTATGTACGCAGAGGTACTGGGGAAGAACAAAGGAGTCCACTCCTGCTCCGGTTGTTGTAGACATTCAACGATTGTTGTTCAACCTAAATTACAGGAAAAAGGAGGAAAATAGTGTTGTTTGCCACGTTAAACACATTCCACAAAAATCGTTCTAACAAGGCAGGCTATAATTTTATTTTCAGTTGTAGTGACATAAATCTTTAAAGCTTCAGTTCTTTAAGTATTTGTAGCTTCAGGGATTTCCATTCTGTATAGATATGCTCACCTTTGTACAAGACAAAGATTAAATGAGTTGTTTATGTCACTACAACCTGAACATGTTGTCCCTAACAGGTTAAAAAAAAAAAATCTCTTACATATTGGCAAACTGTATGATCACTACTTTTTTTTCGATGTAAATTGTGTGGTTTACTTTTTTTTACTGGATCTTCTTGGATGTTTCTGGCTAGCATCTTTGCAGCTTTATTAGTACATACACAACTCAAAATATTGTCTTGCACAAAGGGTTTTCTACTGCTTGTATACAATTTTGTTTTTCTTAATATACTGCAAATATTGGCAATTGATGTGACACATATCAGATCTTTACATTTGAGCCGTAATTAGATTACAGAAGGAAATATTTGTACTGGTTGCTCTTCTCCTGTTTTAAAATTCAAAGAATATTGTTTTAAATGCTGCTGCATTTATTTTATCAACATCTTACAAGATTTTGTATGGATAAGTCAAACTTTAATCTGTTGAACAGTATTATTCTGAGAATTATCCATTCATGCCAAAAGGAGCTCTTGCCTGTGATGGAAATGTTTATGAAAAGTATCTGTGAATAGAAAATCACTGTTGAATCCTAAGGTTAGCAGTAAAGATTGTTATATTATTTCCAGTTCATAACCATCAGAACCAAGGAACTTAGCCTTGCACTTTTCCTGGTAAATAATAAAAAGGAAATATACGTACATAACTTATAAACCAATGAAATTAAAGATAGATGAATACACTGGCTGTGTTTTTACCACAAATCTTAACCATACCATTTGATATCTTGGAAAGCTAAGGTCATTAGTGCCAAAATATATAATCACTACTAATGATGGCCTCTTGCCTTGTTTATTTGCGATAGGAAGCTGCATTTTTCTCTGCTCCTTTTTCTTTGATAGCCTCTGTCTAGCAACTTTTTGCTCTATTTGCTTGCTTCTATTTTCTGGAAGCAGTTCACTTTCCTCTAGTCCAAGCAATCTGCTTTCAAACACCTTTCTCTGCCTAAGCCAATGCAGCAGTGCTTTACAGTGCATACGTTGTGTTACCAGAAGAAGAGAATTTTTAGATCCTCATCAGCATCTCCCTGTTCATTCTGCCAAGTCCCACTCCATTATGCTTTAATTTGAACATTTGTAATGATTTCATATAATCATCAGATGTTTGAATAGGAAAACTGTTCTCTAATCCTTTTTCAATTTTCTGCTCATATGAATCTGAAGAAATTATTTCAATATTTAAACTATTCAGATACTTGCAAATGATTTAGTGTCTCAGTAGCATATTTTTGAAGAATTCAGATGTATTCCAGTTAGAGGATTAAGCCCTTTCAGAACTATTTTAGTACAAGAAATTCTTATTGCCTTTAAAAAGGCAACTTGAGATCCATCACTGCACAGGAGATCCTTAGTGAGGAAAAGGGTGAACAAAAAGTGGCAGAAAAAAAACAGCAGTAATTGGCAAAATGCAGTATGAGCAGAAAGTGAGCGTGGAGTGTGCAGAGTACTGCAGAGGCCACAGAGCAGCCTGTTGTAGCCAATGGCCAGCAGCACCTGCCTTGGTGAGCAGAAGAGCAGTGGATCACCTGTATGTTTCATAAATAGTACCTTGACTGTGAGAGTAGTACAGAAACAGCTGTGAAATCAGGTAGTCATTTCCAGTCAGTCAGGCTTTTAAATAGTCTTGCCCTATCTATTTGGACGAAAGGAAATAGCAGAAAAACCTCATTTCCATCTATGCTATTGCTGCTGTAGTTCTTCACTGATACGAACAACACAGTCATCACGTACTCCTCCCCTTCATCAGAAGGGATCCAATACTTGTTTGAACTGCTGTATGCAAAGTTTACTCAGCCTACATGATTGCCTTTGCAATTGCTGCTGTAGTAACAGCATCACCGTCTCCAGAGCATACAGTGGATCCAAAACACAGAAAATCGATTGAACTATTAGCAAACTAAGAATAATTCTTGTTTTGCACTTTTCGGCTTCCTTTTTTTTAGTCTGGAATGTGGATTTTAACCAAATCTTTTTTTTTTTTTTTTTTTTACTGTTTTCCTTTATTCAACAGAATCTCAATTTTGCCCTTAAGAGCAGTGATGTAAAGTGAACAAGGTTTATAGGAGTGAAGTGTATTTTTGGCAAGGTTATGGCTCACTTATTATTAGGAGTAATTTCAATAAAAGATTCTTGATGTAAACAATTGGAAAGTCTGGCTGCAAATAAAGGCCTGATCTGTCTATGTCCTTCAACACCAAATCAAAGCAGAGGTTGAGATAGTTAAGACACCTGTGCAATTAACAAGGTGTGAGCAAGCTGCTAATTTCAAGTACAGATGGATAGTGATAGGGCTGGTAAATGGGGTTACTCCTGTGTATTTCCAGGATTCCCAACCCTGTCCAACACTGTGGTGTTCTAATGCAATTATCTATCCAAGTGTAGATAAGGTGTGTTTTTTTAAGCAGACACTGAATTTACAGGAATTCATGCTGTTTGGGGATTTAAATGTTAAAAAAAAACAAACAACCGACCACTGACACCACAAAAAAGGGAGAGTGAGAGGCGTTGTCACCACTGAGAGACTTCTGCAGAGCTCCTGCCATGGTAACCCTTGGGAAACACAGCTCCCATGGACACACGCATGCTGTTGCCAAGGCGGTTCTTGGCACTGCTTTGTGGCTTTTTGGTGCCTTATGTGAACCACAGAGAGCTCCAGCACGAGCTCTGCCTCTGCAGCCCCTCAGATCACAGCCTCATCCCCGCCACGGCACACCCCCAAAGGGGAGCTGGGGAAGCAGAAGCTGCCAGGAGAAAGCCCAGCTCTGCCCTCCCCACCCAGCCCTGGAGAGTGGTGCAGTCCGGCCTGGCAGCATGAGGCCAGGTTGGCACCTGTAGGCGCGGGCTGTTGGGACCCAGCAGGGGCAGCCGGGTGCTCGCTCCCATGGCTGCTGGAGGAGCCCGTGCCCATTTTTCTCCATTGGTAAGTGTACTGGCTGACAGGGCAGCGTGTCTCTCATACTGGGAAGTGATGGTTGAAGAATCTTTAAAGGTTTGAACCTGCTGGTCTCAAGGCAGTTGTACAGGGTGGGTGTCCCATGGGGGCAGCAGGCAGGTGTTTAGCAGATCGCTCCTTCCCATGCAGCTTACATACAGCTCTGTGCTTGCCACTTTCTTCCTGGAAGCCTGCAGCCTTCCTACCTTCCTGCTGCAGTTTGTCCTTGGGTAACAGTAACTGCGGGCAGGGAGGCTGCCTGCTTCTGTCATACCAATGATTTCAGAAGAAATTTTCACATCCCTTTGCACAGATAATGGCCGCAACCAACGTCCCTCTTGCTTTGTGATGCTGCGGGTAATACTCGTGGAACTGCTGTGCTAACAGGACTTCTGATCGTTGTAACTGGGACAGTGGGTTATGCCTTGGAAGCAGAAGGTGAGGAGATGCTTTCCTGTCCTTTTTCACAACCAACGTAGTCCTGAGCTGCATCTTTGGGAACCTGATGTTTGTCTTTATTTTTCCTTTCTCAACTGAGTAATCTGCTTGAGGTTCACTCATTTTTTCCACAGACAAATAGAATGGATCTTTTCTCCCTCCTCTACTTATTCCCAGCTGTACTTCAGAGTCATTTGCTAGGGAATTATGGGCTGTCCTGGACAGACGCTGACTTGTGCCAGACATGGAGAGGTTGGGGAGAGATGGCCTGAGCATCACCAAGGCTGGGAAAAGAGCTTGAGCTCGGGACTGTTGTCTTAGCCAGGGGTATTTCATGGCTGCCTGCTAGAGAAGGAACAGTTTACGATCCGCCTTCTTCCCAGCCAGTGTGTTACTTTCCTCATTCTCTGGTACATTTTGTGTGAATGGGAGGAGTAAAGGGTAGAGGAAAACCGGATGCTAAGCAGGTATTATCACAGGAGAAGAGGCATGTAATTTGTCTCAAATGTTAGGGGAGCTAAAATACACACAGCTATTTTTCTGTGTTACAATTCAGCATGGTTCTGATGTGTTTCTGTTTTCTAGTATTCTTCCCTAGACAGGTAAACTAATGTATGCATATCTTTGCTCTATCACTAGATTTGTCTTAGCATAGCTAGCCCTGTTCTGAACATTTGACCTGGCTTCTAAGCATTGTCATAAATGCACAGTACAATAACCAAAGCCTGTAGGGTAAATCAGATCTCTATAATCTCTTTAGGGTTATTTATTATAATGCACTAGATTCTTGGAAACGAGTAACCAGTCTTCCTTGTATCTGTATTAGTGAAAATAAATAAGGTAAGTAAACTACTAAAAGTACTTCTCTAGGGTATGGAAGTTGATAGGCTTACACAAGTATATATGTATTTGCAGGGTTAGTGCCTAAAAACAAATGAATTCTATTGAAAACCTGAAAATGAAGGTAAAAGAGTATTCTAGTGAAAGAAAATTTCACAATTCAATGCAAACTTTTGTTTTGTTTTTGTTTTTTTTTTTGAAGGACTGTGGCTTGCACTTGCACAATCAACAACTGCAAAAGTGCCGGGTTCTGAAAGTAACTTGGTGTCCTTTCATGAGGATGTTAGAAATTATACTTGAGAAACTTGAGTGAAAAGAAAATTTCAGATGAAAAAGGAGCTGCTGAGAAAAGAACAATGACTCTGCTTAAAAAGAATGTCTGTCATGATTCTGTATACATAAACGCAGCTAAGATTTTTCAAGGCATTCATAATAAAAAGCCAAAGGATAGAATGTTAGTGCGATATGGTGATGACTCAGTATCTCCCATGCTGACTCTTAAAGATGAGTATTCCCAGCGTTTATCTTACGAACTCGCTTTCAGTGCTCTGAAATGTAAGTACAAAACTTTTCCCAGAATTGCCAGTAGAAATGATGTGGCAGAGAGAAGTACATGAATAAAATTATGTAGTTTCTGCCTGATGACAGAGATTTGGGTAATCTTTTGTAAATTAAGTAGTAATTTACTACTAGACTAGTAGTATCCCTCAAATATTTAAATATAACTAAGTGTTGGTTATGTTTTATAGAATCAAACATTTAAAATCTGTACTTCTAAGGTAATTAGAGTTGTTACTGTACATGAGTAAACTTTCACTTAATATTTATGATGTTCAAACTTTCAGATTTTTCTCTACTATTTTGTAAATATTTGCTGTTCTTGCATATAATTTAGTATTTCATAGTACAACTTATCCATGTTTTCTTCTTCTTTTTTTTTTTTTCCCCAGATCAAGATCTCCTTGAAGAAATACTGCTGGATAGTCATGTTTACCCATGTCATTCAATAGTAAGTGAACATTTTATTTCAGATGGTTCTTTCCATATGGTAACCTGAGATCAAAATATGTCTATTCTTTTTCATTAGTTGTCCAAACTATGAATCTCCAGTCTTCTAGATGAGCTGTGAGATTCTTTGGTGTTGCATCCCAATGCTGGGAATTATCTTCAGAGAAAGAAAATGAGAATGAATCATAATGCTTACTGCACTGTGTTACTAGCTGTGTAATGTTGTCCATGAGCCAGGAAAAGTCACATAATAGGATATCCGCCACTGTGGTACTTGTCCAGGGAGTTTGACTCCTGGGTTCTGCCTATTTCTTGAACAAGACAAGGTAGTTCAAAATCTTATTTGCAAGCTCTCAGGAGCATCCTAACCAAACCTGCAGGCTAAGATCTTTTTGTCCTCTTCTCTTTCATGTGAAGCTCTCTGTTGAATGCATTGTATGGCTTGTCCGGTTTTAGTGAGTACAAAGAGCAAGGATTGCCCAAGTACAGAGACTGGGGCTTTTGAAGAAGCAAAGTGAAACTTTTGGATTCTATCTTGGTTCCCCTTGTTTTTACACTGAGTGGTGCTTTTGATAAAACAAAGAACATCACTCAGTGCTTTCCATCCCACTTGAGTCACCTTGTGAGTGGAAAGTGTAGAGTGAACCATATCAGACAAAAGGAAACACTGAACCCAGTTTTCATTTCCTGGGCAAACTGTGTTATGAAAAGAAAATCTGGAGCAGGCAGAATAACCTGTTATTCTATTCTGTGGTGCCTTTGATGCTTTTTGATAATTACAAGATTAATTTGAACTGATGTTAATTGCATAGATTGATGTGATCAGGCAAATGATCCAGCAGTAACACTTGATTTTCAGCTTGTTTTTGCACAGTGATGAGACTTAGGCAATTACATTTTGTGTTTGATGGCATGCTTCTAGTAACTTGAATTTTCTAGCTTGTATCAGTCATACTTGTGAGAAGGTAAGATGTATCCAAGGGTAATGGCAGCGCTGGTAATGCCTGTCTTTAAGAAGGAATTGCTGCCTAAGTTCAGGCATGGGAAGGAGATTTTACCATTGTTTTGAATGCTTGTGATGTAATGGCTTGAGCTCATCTGTTACTATATCCAAAGAATCCTATGAAAGAAACTGACAGAAAAAATGTGTTTCATTGGAGTTGTTCTGTGTCTTACACAGGAGAATACTGCTTGATACGGACTTTTGTTTTCCAGAAATGAGGCAAAGTGCCTTGTTCTCTATTCAGCTGTTCTTCTGTTGCAGCCGGATGAATTAACCAGCCTGCTTCTTGTGATGCTTTATGACCTGCAAGACAGAGAGTTTGAAGCACGAGTGATATCTGATGAGGAGGAACCTATAGCAGAAGTTCAGGAAATAGAGAATTTTCTATTCAGGTACATGTGCTAAGAATTTTGTTGTTGGTGGTGGTACATAATAGCAGAAATACAGAATTTTATAGCAACTGCTTTTTTTTCCCCTGATGTTGAATATTGCAGATACCTTTTATCTTGAAATCTTGCAAAATTTCTTTTAATTTTTGATGAGAAAGTGATTTGAAGGGAAACTTTCTTACTCCTGTAATAAGAAAAACACTGCTAACAGCCTATATTGCAAATTATTTTACTAGAAATAGGTAGCTTATTCTGTAGCTCTTGAAACTACTTTCATATAATTTTAGGAAAAAATAAATGAAATATTTAGCAAACATTCATAAATATATCTACACTCATTCATAAATTGTATAGTTCACCATACATTTGCTAAACATTCATAAATACGTTGCACAGAAGGCATCAATGTGTATCATAAATGTTACACCCAAAAATGTGAATGTAATAGTCAAGTGCCAAAGGGTTATAGAATGGAACAGTGTTCCTTTATTTAGCAATATTGCTATTATGAAAGTTTGTTAAATACATATTAAGTAATTAGAGGGGGAAAAAAGACAATAGGTAAAACAAACATTTTAAGTAGTGTTCAAGTGTACATTTCCTAAGTCTGCCATTTCTTAGACAGAATTGTACTGCTAGATGTAGAATAGCCCTAAAATTTCAGGAGCACCCTATGTGCAAGGAGGGCAGACAGTGATATATCTTAACACTAATAAATTTTATTTGTTCTGAAGTATCACACATCATAAATAGGCATAAAGCGTTTGGGAAGAAAAGGCCAGAAATATTCAGTCTGACGTTTTCATGTAATAACAAAACCACCTCCTGGCTGCCATCACAATTCTGTCATTTCTCTACTGGTTAGAGGTCTCCTTTCTTTACGCTTATATTTCAATCATTGAATCTCCAGCAAAAGTGTGATTATATTCCGTAGATTGCAGTTCTGAATCCATATTTTCTCTCCCCCTCCAATTTTTAATATTTTATTTTTCACAACTTTTGGAGATTTGTTTTGTATTCATCTGCCATAATTCCAGACCTGTGTATACTGAAAGGCAGCAGTCTCAGCCATCTGCTCTGCAGTAAAATACCTGCACCTATATATTTTCTCTATGAGCTTGCAAAGCGAGATCTCGCTGTTGATGTCCAAGCAAGAGACTTTTAATAGAAATGTTGCCTGTAAGTAGTCGGTGCCAACATTTTAAAAACATAGTAAGCTTATGACTATATTTTTTAGGTTTAGGATCAAATTGGCAGCCGCACTAGCAAGATGTCGCATCAAGCATGATGCTCTTTCAATTCAACACTTTCTACCAGAAACTATAAGGAAGCACGAACAAAGAGCTTCTGCCTTGCCTTTATGTGCTTGGATAAACACACTGAAGACCAGGTAACATCTTAAAAGTGTCATCTAGTATTTTAGTTTTTACATATGTGATTGGATAGTTCGCTGTACTCTTGTAAAATTTCCAGGCTAGTTGATTGCTGGTAATTTAAATTTCTTATAAAAATCCTGCTTAGTAGAACAGTGTTGGACTATGCTGGTTGTTAGTTTTAAAGTTTCTATATATTGCAGTAACTGTATTAATGAACTGTAAATGGAAGATATGAGTTTGTTACAGACTATTGCTTATGAGGATATTCACCAAACAAGTAGTTTTTTTCCTGACTTGATCTCCCTATGAGAGCAAATAAATTCCGTGATGAAAATCAGAGAAAATTTTGTAAAAAGCAGGTGATATTCAAGTTCTTTTCCTACCTAAGCCATTCTGTGCATATTGGTATAAGAAATTACATTGGCAGAGGGTGCTAAGACAGATAAAATGCTTCGAAGCAGTATTTATTATGTAAAGATTGTGTCAAATACTAATGATTCTTTTAATCATCATTCACTGTGTCATCAAACGTGTAAGGCTGGTGTTTCCAGTCTCGTTATCCATTCTGTTATTACAAATAATGCATTTTATCATGTATTCAGGAGTTTTTAATACTTTTGTCTTGGACCAATACTCTGTGCTTATAGGTGGTTATGGTTTTCTTAAGAAAAAGTGTCTGACTGCAATCTTTCACCCTTTAGCTCAGATTGAGATTTAAAGGCTGCAGTGTTGACCCTAGCTTTGAAACACCACGTAAGCCCATAGCACTGTCTAAAGCTGTAATTTAACATTCAAGTTTTGGTATATATGCCTTTAAACCTTCATGATATTTGAATTGCAAACCTCAGCATTTATGCCTCTATTACATTCACACAAGAATTACTTCAGATAGTAATTGTTAAATTCATTGGCGAGCTGGGATATGTTGAAAGCAATTAAAAGAACCAAGCTATTCTGGCAGTAAATTTGTTACAGGGTCTCCTGAGCTCAAGGACATCTATATATCAGTGCTGTGAATCATTCTCTGGAGACACACAGCTCCTTCATCTGTGTTATCTCACTTACTAACTTAGGAGTCAAAACAAGAACCTCAAAGCCTGCAGTAGTGTGATTTCCCCTCCTGTGTCAGATAGTACTACTATTTTACGTGTGTGTGTGTAATCTATACAGATGTTTTATACACAGATGCAATATGCCTTATACAGCCACAGGTGTAGGGATGTGTACACCCGTGTAGACATCGAAGAAATAAAAGTCAGTGATCAACACCAGTGTGAGTTATGTTGCTTATGAAGGTGGTGTATATTTAATGGTCAGAACTGTATGTTAACAGCCTTCAAGATGTCTTCAGAGATCTGAAGAGTAAGGGATTCACTGAAGTTGGATCTGTGTCAGACTTCAGCGGTTACACATACTGTTTGGACCAGCACTGCCACAACGTCTTATTTTTCCCTTCCTCTCTTAAAGACGAACTGCTTAATTTAGATCTATTTGCAGATTGCAAGCTCTTACTGCAGGTAAGCAAAATGATGCTTTGCATTCAAGTAAGGTCATGCGCTGTGTGCCTGCCCTGTTACATCAGGCAGGCAGAAACATACTCTGAGAAGTTTTTGAACATGTTTAAAAATCAGAAGTTCAGAAACAGAGTTCATTTATTAAGATTTGCATGGCAATATTAGTACTCATAATTCATAATTACAGTTATAGTAATAAAATGTTGTAAAATTAATTTTAAAAATGTCAAAAGTGATTGAAAATGTGGCTGCACTTCTGAAAATATGAGGAAAGTTTCTGTGTATCTCAGTGTACATTATCCCCAGTTAGAGGATGACAGTATGCAAATATTCATGTCCTGCAGCTGAAGAGGAATATTATGAATATTTCTGATGGGATAATGATAAACAGAACAGAATAATTCAGGTTAGGAGGATCATAGAATCACAGGAAATGATGGAAAGGTTGAAGTTGAAAGGGACCTTTAAAAATGCAGTTCCACCCAACTTGCCATGGGCAGGAGCACCTTCCATGATCACATTGCCCAGAGCCTTCTGATTTAAGTGAAATTTAGTGATTTTGACTTAAGATGCTTGATTCTGTCTTCTTAAAAATTCCATATTAGCCACTGTATGTGATTAGTTTTTTCTCCTCCTCTCTTTTCTATTTATCATGAAAGTAGCGAATTAATTTCCTAATTTGGAAAAGATTGATGCTCAGAGAAACCCAAATAGTTGGTAACACTGAATTTTTGTGTCACTGTTTTATAGGATAAGTCTCGCAGCCTTGCTGTACATTCTGTGCAGGCGCTGTTGAGCACAGATGATGATGTTATTGTGGCTCACCTGGGTTCCCACCTCACCGTCGCTCATATGTCGGCACTGAGAAATCACAGCACGTCCACAGTTTTTGTTTGTGGTGTAAAAACTTCTGCAAAAGCAGCTGAACTGGGAGACTTGTTCAGTCACATGGGATGTAAAAGTATGTGTTGAAACAGTTGGTATGCTGAAGGTATTGTAAATAGATTTTGATGGAGTTTGTGATAACTATAAACGGGTCATAAATCTATCAGAATTTAGAGATTCCTTCTTTGAAGATTTGGGAGGGTAGTAATAGATTATTTTTGTCATAGGGTGAACTGACAACTCCTTAGCTACAATCAGGCTCAACAAGGTTGCAGATAATCCAGATTCCTGAAATGTTACAGTGAAGTTCTCCACATAAGTAGTTCCTGTGTAATGGCTGGGATCTGCAAACTGTGGCATCCGTGTATCTGGTGCCTTGTCTGTTGCTTTTCAGGTTGATTTCTACCTGTTTCTGAAATTGCTAATCCAAAATTTATACATTTGTCCAGTTTACCCAGAAGATGTGATCAAACAGTAACAAGATGGCAATGCCAATTAGCAGTCTCTTCAGTGGAAGATGCTAAGGCTTAATCACTCAGTCTGCCTGAAATCAGTGGGATGTTGGGGGGTCTGGTCCAGCAGGCTGTAGCTTTGTGGAATTTTGTGTAACATTGCTGTCTCTTCAACCCCATCACTTTAAAATTAGGCAGGCTTGCTTTAGTGTTGAACTGCTGAGTTAACCACCCCTCCTTTTTGTTTTATTTCAGATATTCAGTTGTTGCATGAAGACTTCACTGAGATTGAACCGAAAGATCCCAGGCTTCAAAATGCAAAAGTCATTTTGTTGATACCACAGTCCTCTGGGCTGAGTTTTAGTAATCCAATAGATTTTATTTTGACTGAACATGGAGGTAACTTCTGATACCATAGCTAATGCATGCTTTCTGGTAGAAATATTTCCTTAGCTATTGTGATTTGAACAATACAGCTGCTCTGATAAAATGTAATCTTTTTAAAAGACAACACGCACAAAACTTCCTTTGAACTACTATAAAAGATATATTAATGACTTGCATAATTCTCTGTGTGTGACATATATGCAGACTACAATGGAAAAACAGAAGAGAATAATGTATAATCAGTTACTCAGATTTTTCCATATAAAGTGAGCAGGATGTATTTGTCCTACCTTAGAATTCTTAATAAGAAAACAAAATCTTTCTGTGTGGCACTGAAGGGCTAGGAGCATTTTGTGAAGGCAATTTCAAGTCAGTGGCATGAAGTTTGAGGGTTATTCTGGGGAGAAGAGTATATATTGCCTTCCTTTTCAAGCAAAAAGACAAAATTTATGTCAATATACGAGTACATGATTTTTTATTAATCACACTCCTTTAATGACTATTTATAATACTCATTGTTCAGCTTTCATTAAACAGAAACAAAGAAGAGGCAGTAGCAATTAGAGGTAAACTTGACAAGGAAAGAATTGCTTAGGCACTCGTGGTATCGTAATCCGTAAGGCCTGCCTTCTCACTGTACCAGTGACCATTAGGTCTGTTATCCAAGCTTTTTGTGCAAACTGAATGTTAAGACAAGACCAAGAGCAGCCATGTTAATAAATGACAACTCTTTGTATATAGATGCAGGATTGCTGAAAGACCTCTACCAAGGATCTGTGTCTAAGGACAAGCTCTGTATTCTCGCTGAGAAGCAGCTGAATGAGTTGATGCATGCAATGAAATGTAAGTGTGCTGGCAGGCAGGTTCCTGAAAAGATTTTCTTATACTGTCAATTTGATTGTACTACAACCAGATTTATATCATTAAAGATACACTGATTAGTCTATGAGTTAACAGTAAATGTTTAACCTCCAAATAATGATTTCTTCCAGCAAGGGTCTTTGTGTCGTGATATTCACCAGCCATTAATACAACAGCATAAACAACTGCCTGAGTCAGGCTCATTTTGGCTAAGTTGTAAATGTAGTCTATCTTCAAACTGCCACTTTCTTCTGCCTTTTGTTTAGCAGATGTGTGAAAAGACAGTCCTGAATTTGTGCTGAAATCTGCCAGTATTTGAAAAGATTTCAATTGTTAAAAAGCTCACATGCAGGAGAGCGTAGTTTATTGGTAAAAATAGCATACAAGCATAATTTTCATACTGGTTTTAGTCCTTACTAAACCACTGTGTTTCAAGGATTTTAACATTGAAGTCTCTTAAAATTTTCTTTTGTAGTTCAAGTACAATCTATTGTTTACTGCACTTCTTCAGTTTACCCAGAAGAGAATGAACAAGTAGTGCAAAAAGCACTGGAATTTTGTGTGAAAGGAAAAAAACAAAAAACATTCAGGCCATTCAGGTATGGTATGAATAGTTTTGTCTATATAAAACTTGAAGTAGCATAGTTCTTAACCTAGTCCAATCTGTGTCTTGTATTAGATTAACAATATCAGCTTCAGCTGTCTTTGATTCCATTCTTTTTGATGATAAGAGATATTAAGTTGTTCCTAATGTTTTCATTTATTGCTTTCCCCCAGTAGAAGAGAACTTATATTTCTTTATATCACAGAATAATTCATTAAAAAAAAAAAAAAGTTTTTTTTTCAGGAGGTTTGATTTTTTTTTTTTTCTTCAGGAAAAAATTTTTGTCTGAGACAAAAAACCTCCCATAAGAAAATTTCTCAGAAATCCTAAAACCTCTTCAGTGTTCTGTAGAAATATCATGAAACTTGTCATAGCACCACATCACACTTTTGCTTTGAAATACTGGATGATCACAGATAATAGGTAACGTAAAAGTGCATTGGAATTTTTTGCAAAACTCAGCAATTTTGTGGCTGAGGATGGGTGGAACTTCATAAATGATGATTCTAGAATTAGCTCATCCTTCACTGTTATGCACAGATCTTGGATTTTTGTCCCGGTACCATGAAGGTGCTGGCAACCAGTGTAGACAAAGCAGTAACAGAATACCATAAATGAGATACAGTGTGATCATGCTTAAGGTGAAAGCTCAAGCTTTCCTTATGTAAGTATTCCTTATCATCGTTCCTCATGCATTTCTCTTAGCACGAGGTAACTCGATTTACTAGAAATACAGAACCCAGTGAAAAATTCTGACCACTTGTGCTCAGAATATAGCAGCTCTGAAAGAAACAAGTCGTGCTGATTAAATGTCCTTTGGGATCATCACAGATACTCTTCTGTCTTGTGACAGACTTGTTCTTGGCCTTATGAACCAAATCACTGCCGTCTGTTTTGTAACAGCTGGGAATTGCTGGCGTGTAGGGGGAATGTGGGAAAAGGAGACTTCCTTCCTTCCTGCCTTGTTGATGCATCACAAAACAGTAAATTGAAAAAAAAAAACAACTGGAGCCCTGGTAGTTGAGTATGGCAAATAGGATATCTAGCTTACCTAAATTATTTATTAAGAGCATACAGTTATTGACTCAAGGTCAACCTCTTCATAATTTCTATGTACTGCTGAGTGCCTTCAGAGCATTCTCATGTTCCTGGACAACTCGATTATCCAGCTATGGCAGACTCAAGAAAGAATGCAACTCTTAATTATGTTGATATAGATTCGTTATCTGGTGGTTAATGTAATTTAATATTGAAAATAACTCTCAAAAGATTAATTCTCATGTCTTGATTAGCCCTTCTTTTTAAAAAAGAATGAAGATAGGTTTTATAAAACTTTCATTTGCAAGACATGCTTTACAAATCACTTTTAACGTATCCGTGTTTTTTTTTTCCTTGTATGTTATTATCTCTTGGTCATTTCTTTCTTTTTGTCAGACTGATTCCTCCTGCTCTTCCTGCTTGCTCCAACCCAGAGTCCTGCACTGATTCTTTTTTCAAAATAGAACCATCGGAAATTTCCAGCGGCTGTTTTCTGGCTGTTATAGCAAGAGAGGTAAGAAAACTAAAATTTAAAATCACAGAAGAGAACAATTGTCATTTTCCATAAAACGAATACATAAATGGAACACGTGAAAATAATTAATTTTTAAGATTTCTTGAACAGACCGAAGAGTTGGTGAGCAAAGCTACAGCTTTTCTAGAAGTACTTTCCATTGAAATGTGCAGAATGTTTTAGGCTGAGCACAGCTTTTCTACATGTACTTTCGTTTTGGAGCAGTTGTGGTCAGAGCAATCTCTTTATCTACGTCTGTGCAAGGAATATTTAGGAGGAAACGTTTGTATCAAACCTTGGAATGAGCTAGACAGCTTGGGATTAGATTCGTTCTAAGTGGTGTCTAGTGAAGTTATTGGTTAGGTCTGTATGTATCATCAGGATGTGCCAGTATGCAAGCAGGCAGTGTCACCAGCATGGATTAAGACTGCATTACAACTTGTATTAAATGGATAGGAATGTTTCCTTTCTAAACTAAGTTATATGCAAATCTGGGCTGAAAGGCAGGGAAACTTTGCTGAGTAAACAGAAAAGCCTTAGCATGATTTCCTGAGGAAAGACCTTAGAAGGATGATTTGCGTTTGAGTGTCAAGCTTTTCATCTTGTGGCTGAGAGAAGTAGAGCTTTTTCACCAAAAAGGGGGGAGGGGCTTTCCAAGCCCACAAGGTTTAAATAATCATGCTGTGCAGACATTTGTCTACCGAAGTCCAGAACTCATTTTCCCTCTTCTGGACCACAGAGGGCAAAGTCTCTGGAAGAGCAAATGTTCAGACAGCACTTAACACAACAGTCAGGGCCTTTATTTATTGAGCAAACAGTGATTCTGCCATGCCTTTCTTGTGGAGTAGATATTGAGGAATGTGAGCTTACTGAATTGACTTTACAGCTGTTTCCTCAATTTATTATTCCTTCCTTTGAAATTTGCAGACAGACTCTTCCAAAAATGTGTCCGCTAAAGATATTTTGTCTCAAGCTGCAGCAAAAGGACTACTACTAGACAGCACTCTAGGTAAATCAAAGGAAGAAGAGAAGCAAGGGAAAGTAGCACAACATGGAAGTGATGCTACTCATACTCGCATAGAGCCAAAGACTGCTGCGGTCCCTCACCCTAAAGCTGTATCTAACAGGAAAGCTGCAGTTGTAGTATCCAAAGTTGAAAGCAAACGAAAAAAAAAGAATTCCAACCAACCAAGAGGTCACATTCAGCTGAAGAAACCTACCATCAACCCAGCTTCAGACACAGGTGTTTCTAAAGTGCCAAAGCACACATCTGTTGTCAAGGTGCACAGAAAGCAGACACAAGTTAGAAAGCCACGTGCAGAATGTAAAAAAATGGTGGCAGTGAAGCTAGTGGAAATAGTTTTTCCTCCAATGATATCACCATATGGACATCCGCAAGGAAACCAACACAGGATGCCAGCTCATATCTCTCTGCTCCAGTCCAGACAGAGGAATAGAAGCTTGAGGGACAGAGAACCTCCTCCACCTGTGTCTAAAGTAGTCAAACCAACAGTGCTCAGAAATTCTCAATCAGGGCTGTAAGAATCTTCAAACTTTCCCCTAGCTTTTTAGAAAAGGTAAAGATTCCTGTATGTATTTATTCACGCACGTAGATTGCAATATACCTTTATTCACTACAGTCTTACTGTGAGACTAATTCTCAGATATTTGCATGGAAGTAGCTATGTTAGCCATTTAAAACCAAAAATTACATTTTAAAGTAAATACAGCTCAGTTGTGTAAGGCGGGGGGAGTCCACTGGGGGAGTCAGGTGAAAAATACTGCAGCTATTTGCTATAGACTTTAAAATGACAAGTTACAGCACACCGTTTTTGTAAATTACCTTTTGGGCTGTGACACACAGAAACTAAGCCTTGCATAGTAAGCTAGTTCAGTTTTATCTCTCAAGCTGGATGTGAATTTTTCTACAAACAGCTGGCCAAGTACATTTGAACCCATGGGCTTTCCAGTATTAATTCCTTTGGTTTCCACTTACAGGTGCTTAAAAATATTATAAGGGGAAACTATATAAATATTACGATGCATTATCATGTCAATTCAGTATTTTTAGTAACATCAACCAAAACGCAGCTCTTTTCACATCAGATAAGCTGCTATTATCTAAGTTATTTTTATAAATAGTGTAACTATTTATTTGAATAATGACTGAACACAAGGACTGAATAAGTTTTCCACTGCTGAGAAATCAGCAGTGGGAACCTAACCTGTTCCCTGTTGCTAACAAATGCAGAATAAATGGTGAATATCTACATTTGTCTGAGCACAATGTAATAAGTGACTTAGTACTAAATATGGGCAGTATGAACAGAAAAAGTAATTCAGGAATTGTTAGCAACTGTTCGTTATGACAGTTGATAAGAGTTTATTGAATGTAAACACGCCAAGTGTCAGCAATATGATATGGAATCTTAAGGATTTAGACCCATGCAGAGAAAATGTTTTAATATCTTTATTTTCTTCCTGTCCACATCAGCCAACGTAGACGAACAAGCTTTAGAAGAAGGGATGTGTTATATCATTGGCACAGAGAACTGCTCCTTCTTCATCAGATAAATACTACTACTCCACTGAATCAGTGAAAAATTCTGCTCATGTTTTTAACCAGAGTCACCTGTTGTACTCAGAGGTATCACTCACCTGCAGTACATCGCTGTGAGTAACCTACGCTCCTCACCTGGTCCAATAAAAGGAAAAGCTCTGTTTTTGTTTCTGAACATACTTACCTAGACCTGTTTGTTTGCAATGTATAGAACTGGAACAAAAACTAAGAATCCCACATTCTTTCAAACCACCTTCAAGGAGGATTCTACATAATAGACAAAAGGAATGGAAAGAAGGGTTTGTTTGTTTTTTAATATGGTTGTTAAATGCCTAAAAGAAGCTTAAGAGATTCTTAAATTAGAGAAGTGAACTTGCATATTTTTAAAAATAGAGCCCAGTGTCTCTCATTTACTAAATATTGATTAAAATGACTCCAAAATGAACATGCTTTGGGCTTACATGTGATGTTCCACACTTGGCCTTTTATCTTGTTTTGAGGGAGCTGAGTCCTTCAGATGTTACGGAGACCAAACAAGTGGTGACCTTGGTATCTTACCAAGAATACAGAAGAGCTAGCAGGGAAGATGTTAGTTCAGCAGGTTTACCAGCTTGCTTGGTGAGCACCGAATATCACCTGCTGGCAACATCTGATACTGACTTCAAATGGCTTGTGGATAGGAGCCTGAATGCTCAATTAAACACTTTTTAAAAATAAAGTGAAGTATCATACATAACTAGTTCTCAGTATTCCACTTAAATATTTGTAATTTTCAACTAGAAGCCACTGATTCAGTTTGATACATACAAAAACCTCCATGGCACTGCTACTGCCTCTAAACAGCCATCATATATTTTTCCCTTCCCTCAATTTGGAACAAGAAAAGAAAGAATTTCCCAGTTCCATGGACCAGCAACAGTTGAGACAATCATTTTATGCAGCCAAATTTATTCTCAGAGTAGATTACATTTAGATGTGTAGAAGTGGACAACAGCAGGGGAAATTGCACTTTTCAGCATCAACTGGGTGCTCTATGCAAGGCTGAGCTCTGCTAATAACCAGTAGGTGTGGGTCCACCTACTTCTGCTGACTGTGCAGCACAAGTTTTTAGCAACATATGAATTAACTTGCCCAAGGAAGGAATAATGGCATTTAAGGCTGAACCCACATGAGCTGCTGAAATAAAAAAGCACTGTTTTGCATGGGTGCTTTACAAACAGTTGTACATCACTAATAAAATAATCATCTATGAAATACTTGATAAGACTAAAAATAAAAGGATGCAGAACTCTTAGGAAATGACGCAGACCTGACCTGGAATAAGCTGCCAGACACTCCAGAGCCTCTCTTCCTGTCACAAAAGGGCATGTTGCTTCAGCAGGCACAGGTATCTCCATGCACAGTGTTATTGTGAGTTGGTCCTAGGCCGCTTCTGTGCAATTTTTGTTATTCTTATTTAAAGTCCCCATAGTTGTCTCTGTAGCCTTGTACCTCCCACACCTCTTCTCTCCTCCCTTCAAGTGAAACAAACAGTGACTTAAAGAAAACCTACAGCCAGCACTGCGGATTTCAAAAGAAAGGCTTTTATCTCTCATTTTTGATGGTGAATATAAATCTCCTTGCTTCTGCAAGGGAGCGCATTAATGACGTGTGATGTGTGATACTTACCTCTAGTTTCTACTTGCATTGAAAAAAATAAGAAATTAGCTTCGCTTTACATGATTTTTCTACAGACTTCAATAAAAATGTGACTACAAATAATTACAAAGCTGCCTTTTTTTAGGCAACCTATAGTATACAGCATAGAGAACGTTACAAGATCACGTCCAGTAAAGACAATACATCGACATCATAATGCAGGATATTTCAGTAAAAATAGAATAAATAAAATAAAAATATTTTAAGCTGTATTTAACAGGTTAATTTAAAATATGGCATCAGACATACAAGGCATAGTGAATGCATGGCTGCCTGCTTACAGAATCGCTGGGTATTATAAAAAATGCATAGATAACTGAAGGGTTGCTACAACATCAAATAAAACAGTGGTAGTTACTCAGACACGTGTATGCCATACACACATTTTTAGCCATGGTTAAAGAGTGCCTCAGTACATTGTTTGATAAAAGACAACGAGCTCTGCAATTTTAGGTGTTGATTCTACAAACACCTGGGTGTATATTTAACACTTTTTAGAAACTCAGGGTTCTACTGAAGCCAAAAGGCCAAACATTTTGGCCCATTAAGCAAACTACTTAATTATTTGCAAAATCAACAGCATTTTGGTAACAGACAAGAAATCCAGGGGACCTACAGCTTTTCAAATACTTTTCTCTCTCTTTTCCCTCAGCCCTTCCTGCAGTGGCACATTTTTACCAGTGAAAACTCTGTGTTCAGAGCCTTGTCAACACAGATGTGTAAAGACTCCTGACACAGCCTCTTACCTTTACACTGCTGTTTCCCAAGTGTTGGTTTGGTTTAAACTTGGACTGTTTCTCTCTTGGGGAAAAGCAGCACTGTGTAGACAACGCTACTGAACTCGATTATACTGTTAAACATTCTTTGTTGTAAAGCAAATAAAAATCCTGGAGTTTCCACCTGGAACTTTAAAAAGAAAGATGCTGTCAAAATATTTTCAGTATATAAAACAAAGTTGGATTCAGTAGTTTTCTGATTAACAAGGAAACATCCTTTAAATTCATGATCTCGCTTAGCGACGTTGTGAGACACTGCATTTTGACAGCAGCCACGAGAGGAAGCGATTTTTTTTTTTTACACTGTTCCCATCAGACTTAAGTGGGATCAGCACTAGAACCTGGAGAAACAGGACTAAGCCAGTACACAATCTGTCATCTCCACACTTCAAAATCTGGCTTCATGGGCAGTTCAAAGGTTGCTACTGCTGAAAGGGGAGGGTTTGCCTCACCTCCCCTCCTGCTCTCCCTGTCATCTGCACAGCCACATGGCCAGCTGGATCAATTTTGGAGTTTACTCACGTTATGCAGACTGGCCTTCTCTCCTCCAACTGCACAAGCAATGGAGCTGGTTCCAAGCAGCAGGAACGTGAGACTTGGGATGGGACAAAATTACCTCACTGCCCAGGGTGCAAAAATTCTATTACGCAGAGGTTTGAGATCATAGAACCACCAAGGTTGGAAAGAACCTCTAAGATCATCCAGTCCAACCATCCACCTATCAACATTTCCCACTAAAACATGTCCCTCAGGACAACATCTAAACATTTCTTGAACATAGTGCAGGATCAGCTCCTTAGAAGGTATTCTGAAGAACTCCATTTAGAATATTACAGCTGCATGGCTAGCCTTCACTACATTCGCTCATACATCAGGCTAAATGTGTTTTAATAATTCTTCTACATTTCTAATAAAGGCATTTCCTGAATCATCACTCTTTCCCCTTGTATTCTTAACATGTTTTGTCCAGGTATTGCTGTTGACTTTTTAAAATAAGAAAAAAAAAAATCATTATTTGCTCATAACAATCTTGTTTATAACAATCTCTGGCACAGTAAAGTAAAAAAAATGGTTCTTGTAAAAACAACGTTGACAATGTCCTTCTGAAATTACAGCATGACCAAATTTGCAGATTTGGGAGACAGATACAGTTTGGAACATATATATAAATGCAGGCAAAACATTTTTAACATTAGTTAAAAATATCTTTTATGCTCCATTTCCAAAATTTGTACCAATCTGCAGGTCTAAACAGAAGATGGCAAAGAGAGAAAGACGAAGCTGCATTTGAAGATCAGTACAAGACAAAATTTTAAAGGGGCATTACTGTGCTGACTTTGTCAGAATCTGCAGTTGTGTGGATCAAGGCTATTACAGGAGACCTTTGGAGCAAAAGCATTGACATGAAGTTGTCCCACTTGCGACAACATCCTGTTAGAAAACAACTCTCATGATTTTGTCACAGACCACTAAAAGAATTTCCATTGAACTTAGTAAATAATTCAGAAACACGATTGCTCTTTTTGTGGCATGCTAACAACCATTTAGCAGCAAACTCAGAGGGGGAGTAGTGCAACCCAACACTGAATGGAACATTTGATCAAACACTCATATAGAAAACATCTGTAACATTTTTGCTTCTGTGAGAGTTTTAAGACAGTAAAACTGCTGACTAACTCTTTCCTGGTCAGTGTGAGCTCTATGTGGAACAAACAGTATTTTTGATCAATTAATGACAATTTGGGATGACACATTTAGCATCCAACACGTGCATCTGTATGTTTAAAGATGAAAAGCTTCAATGGATCACCCTGTACTCAATTACAGAAAACACTCCCAGATTTTTCAGCACTGGTTTGGTATCAAACAATTTCTGTCTACAACTGTGATGTACAAACAGAGATCAAATGACAACGATTCACATGAGTGTCAGGCAGACCAATGCTGACAAACAATTTAAAATTAACAGGTTAGTTCTGTAAAAAATAAAAAACTTGGTATTTAATCTGCAGTAATTCAATGGTAGCTGATCCTTGGTATCTACTCCAGTGTTGAGAACCAAAGTGCTGTAGGACTTAAGATTGGTTTGTGACAAATCCAGCTCAAGATGGTGAAACTATCAACTCAAGCGTCATTCACTCCAAGGACTTTAGCACGAGTTCACTAGGAAGGACGTGGCCATACTCTTTCTTTGTGTGAGTTCAGGTAATGTTTACTTATTTACAGTCAAACAGACCTTCCATTGCTCATGATGTAACTTACTGACAGGAAAAAAATTATTCATGCTTCTTTTCATATCAAACGATGGTGGCAAGAACGAGATAACATGCTTGTCTAGCATTGTTTTGATATGGATAAATTCTCTTAAGACAAAGCATCAGCGATTTGGAATGGAAGGCCAAACACCATCAGTTCATTTCCCTTAGTGTAGCTACTGTTATCTGCAGTTAAATGTTAGGAGAATCTTCTCTCTTACGCAGCTACGGCATGTCGGTGACTGGGCGTTTCTGTTTCAAAGTGTCAATGAGGGACAGCACTCCTCTCTTTACGTTGGTTGTGACTCTCCTGGTCACCGAATCTGCAGGCGGTGGGGGAGGCCGAACTTTCTGCGAAGGAGGTCTGGCCACCAAGCACTTCTGATACCGTAACTGCAACAAAGCAGAAGCATTCTGCACTCCTTACTGTAGCTATTACCTTCAGTGCATTTAAAATACATTTAAAATACCTACTCATGAAATACAGTCAAACTTTCATTTTGACTGTGACAAACAACCTTGATCAAGTTAATGGGATATTGGTCTGACTTTTAGCAGAAACTGTTCTTTAGCACACGACAAATACTACATCACAGCAACAACCCACTTTGAAAATTGAAAAGTAAGTTTTCTTAAACAAGGACTATTTTTCACTACATTGTCACCGGGTTACATAGAAATATTCTTCCAGCGTTAGATAACTTCTGTAACTACAGCACAGATCTTACACAGGTGTTGAGGAATTCAGGAGATCAGATGTTAAAGGAGCAGAGATCACTAAATCAACATTTCAAGCTTATTTTCAATTTACTAGACATATCAGAATCCAAATTGCAAATTATATCTCAGGAAATTAACTGCACATTTGTAAATACATATACTGAAGTAGTAGAAAATCCAAGTACTATTAAATGCCTTTTCAAGAAAGTCACTTACCATACAAGCAGCCTGAACAGCTTCTGATACATTGCCTGCATTTGGTTCACACCAAAACACATGGCACTCAAAATGCTGGTTTCCTGTATCCATAATGAAGGCAAATGTATGAACATCCTTGCCTACTCCCATGAAGGACAGAAATCGCACACGACATTCCACCACGATTTCCTCTTCATTCTGGTTATGAATAAAATGATTGTTCATTACTAACAGATATTCTATGAAATTTTACTTTCAGTGTTAGGTTAATTAAGTAGGGAGAGAACACTGATACAGTGAAACTTCTTCTGCAATCTGTGTATACCTGGTGTGCAAAGGCCTGAGCTGAGTTCTCTCTTCTAGGCTACCAGCAGAACACAATGGCTTTGAGCCTTAGAACTGAAGCATATCATGCATTGCAGTACTGCATGTTTAAAATGGATGTGGCAGTTTTGTGAAGAAATGCATGGCTATTGTGACTTTTAAAGATAGTCTCCCATTACTGGTATGTAGAGATGTGGCTTTAGGACCTAATCAACAGATGCAGATGTGGAACATTCTTTGCAAGTTTCATTTTATTCTATGAAAAATGCTCCACTAAAGGACAGTGATGTGAAACACAAGTTGTAGTCTTACTCTTGGTTTTCATAGAAAGAATAAAGAAAATACACAAACTTAGGATTGCTCCTTTCAGCTTAACCTACAACATTTTACACTCAAAATTTCTAGGAAGGATAATATTGTGTTTGTTTAAAGCACCTAAAGGTTACTTATAATTTATGTTTCTAAGGACATGCTTGGAATGGTAAATAAAGCTGAAGCTGACACAAGTAGTTGTAAAACAGTGATACAGCCCTGCAAAGAAATAAAATGCAAAAAAAGGTAAATGAAGTCCAGGAAAAATGAACACTCTCTTCTAATGCTCATGAGTTCCTGGTTTTCAGCACTTGTGTTAAACATGTTTTGAACAGGACATTCTGCCTTACTCTTTCACTAATGACTGTGACAGTAGCATCAGCAACATTCATGGTAACTGGCATCCAGTCTTCCTTGCTAGAGGAAGCCATCAGACTTTCAATAGCACTGTTCAGGGTATCCATTCCTAAAACAGAAATAAATGTGTATGAGTATACAATATTATTTTCACACAGTAGTACACAGTAGTAAATTGTTCTGAACGTGGTAAAATGAATATGGTGATGGATTTTGAAGCTGGTTTTCATCATCTGCAGAAGCAAATCAGGTGCCTCTGGCATACTAAAAAAGCATTAGCATCTTGTTTAACTGCTGCACCATTTCAGTTATCCAAGGCCCTTCTCATTAGTAACAAAGCTCATATTCAGAGAAAGCAGTAAAAAGAAAATGCTTTCTTACCAGCTCCCAAAGTACTCTGGTTGCATAACACACATTTATTTGAAGCGCTGAATGCTAGGCATTTTCACCTCTGGCTCTAAAGACTCTGAAGTTCAGGAACTGCTCCCATTCCAAAATCATGCTCTTACACTTGGCTAGTCAGAATCCAGCCCTTAAGAGTTTATGCAAGTTCCCTCTGAAGTCACAAATATATGACACATACCCACAGGTTTAGCTACAGGTAGCATTCCCAGGTACTGGACGTGGAACTTCTGCACCAGCTCTGTCTTTGGTGTTGGGAAATCTACTGCATGGGAACAAATATAGATTTCTATTTATTGCTACTCACAGCTCGGAAAAAGACTTTCATTTCATCAATAACCTAAAACAGTTTATCAAGTAATTATACTCTGAAGGCATTGTACTAATTAAAACAAATCTCTACCCCCTCTGACAAGACTAATACCAAATAATTTCTAAGGGAATTAGAATGCTGCATCATTTAATTCTTCATCTACACTAAAAATAGGGTCACATTATGCTACTGGCATATTTAAAAAAAAAAACAAAAACAAAAAATATAAATGAATGTGCCTTTGAGACATACAGACCTATTTTTCACTGCATAACTATGTAAAATCTGGAACCTTTTTAATATCATCCATTTTAATATGTTCAACACAAGCTATGAGTAATCAATACTGCTGTCTAGCAGAAAATTACACAAGTTGATGTATGGATTAGGAGTAAGGTAATCAGGATGAACTGCTGCATCTGAAAGCATCTAGTTTCCTGTAAAGCTAACACGTGGTACATTTGTTCTGGAAAATTTTCTAAACAGCAGCTAGTAAGTTTTGACTAACAAAGCATGCAAAGACAACTTTCTTTTGCCATGCAGTAGTAGAGTGTGCAAAAGCCCCTCAAGGTAGATGACAACCCACTTGTATCTTTTGCCTTGGAAGCTGCCAAAACTGTGCTGAAACCTGGAAGGAGCACTCCTATGTGAATCCATGTGATTAACTGGAGCACATTCTGCTTTTAGGGCAGATTTGGCTGATCTGTGCCATCTCAAGAAGTACTTTGATATGAACTGGACAATATATGCAAGTAGCCACAAGCATGACAAACTGTGTTTGCAAAAGCTGTATTTTAAAATGAAAGACAGTGTGCAAACTGACATAACTTACCAGGACTGTGTTACTGTGAATAGGATCAATACATTAAAATGTTTAATACAATACCACCTTAGAGTCAGATACAGTGGTTAAAAGACTCTCCAACCAACAGGCACCGTTTTGGTCAGAAACAGCATCAGAAATAAAACATATCTGAAATAGCCCCATCCCATGGACATGAGCAGTAATGTATGGTACCTTGCAGAGGAACATCAAGGGTGACGTTTGTCCTCTCCTGCATTGAACTGCAAGCCATAGCTTTAGCATTCTTCCGTTCAGCCATAATCTGAATAAGATAGTGATAATGCAGCATTTTTTGAAAGATACTGTAAAATAGTAACTCCAAGTATCAGTCTACTCTTATTAGAACTCTAATTTCCCAAATTAGCCAGAAACTATGTGACTAAACAAGTTATTCTTCATAAATTACTTCAGCTTGCCCATGGCTTATTCACCATTCCTTACCTACATACTGAACTTACGAGCTGTTCAAGACTAGATGAAAGAAGAATGGAAGAGTTAAAAAACTAGCCATTTTTGTCAACAGAAAAATTGTGAGGAGTAATATTGCAAGAAACAAATATTTAACACACAGAGAAGTATGTTCATTGTTCATATACCTCTCTGATCTATCCTCTGCTGCATGTCATTTTTTCTTCCATTTTTATGTTTCATCTGACATTAAAAATTCCATGCAAAATGCAACACATTCCTCTCCCACAATACTAACAAAAGAGAAAAACACATCCAAACAATCACTTCGGATGATCATTCTCTACAAATACACATCTGAGGAAGGTCCCAGGGAAGTTAAGGGAAGTTTTCCAAAATATGAAATTGCGATCTGCTTCTTTAACACTGATGACTGTTGATAGTAATTAAGCTGTAGGGATGACTAGAGTTCCAGTGAATGACACTTGGTCTGAAGATACTTCTGGCTAATTTATCTTTTCATTTATCTTTGCTTTCTTCCCTTTTATTTATTTATTTATTTATTGCTAGGTTTCATATTTTGGAAGTATTATCTTTTATGGGGACACATGGCAGTACTCCCACTTGAGGATGAAAAATGATACTTGCTAGCTTAGGGAGAAGCTCTGGCTCAGCAAAGAGATCAAGTGTGTCAGACAGCAGATGCTAGGTGCTTTGCTGAATCAGGATTTCATCTACTGCTGAATTATGAAGGAACAACTCTCTGCTCAACAGCATCATTCTCTTTTACTCTCTATTACTATTAGCTGTAAATGTTCAGTCACTCTGTGATCCAATATTGCCAGGAATTTCATGCCACAATTACATGACAGCTTTCCTGCCTTTCTGACAGCACAAGTCAGATACCCCCTGCATTTACTTGATGCTGTGCTTACTGGACAAAAGAAACTTTTGTAGAAATTGTTTTTCCCTGCTAGACTTGCTAGAAAAATCTGTGAGAGCTGAGTCGGAGAAAGATGAGAGACAGCAAGTCCAGGCATCTCCAGTGAACCACTGCTGCAGTGATGCTGTGCAGCATCACCCAGAATGGCCCCTGCCACTCCCAGCCCCACCACCAGTTGGGGCAGCTCATCAGCATATTCTTAAAAAGGTGAATGCAGCCTCAAATCCATAGCTCAATAAAAGAAATAAAAACAGTTTCTCAATAAAAGAAATAAAAAACACTCTGGCTTAAGTATCTCCCTATAAAGCCTTTTAAACATTTTTTTCAGCTGTCAAGGATGTGCTGTCACAGCACTACAAGACATTGCTGTACTGAGGACACTCATGAACTGATCACGCAAGAAAATCAAAATTAATAACTAGGGAATGTTGGCAGATTAATGTAAAGTGACTGAAGAGAACAGTTGTCTCCAGTATTACAGACAGTGCTGCTACGGGAACGAAGATCCTTCTACTGTTAGTCAGCTTAGCTCTCCCCCTTCTCCCTGATTTATTTTAATTGGGCAGCATAACACTGGCAACTATTTTCATGCCTGTCCTGCTTGAAGCATACCATTCAAACAAGGTCTAATTTATTTACAAAGTTACACACCACCACTGACCATTAATTAAAAGAATGTGTTCTTTTTCCCTTTTCAACACACAACTTCTTTATTACACAAGATGACTCTCTGTATATATGCTTATCAATTAAATACAAGTATCACCATCCTCAAATCTAAATGCACATCCTCCCACTATTCCCATTCCTTTGTATCCTTTACAAACTCCCTGTCTCATTTCTGGCTGCCAGAGATACAAAGCTAACAGTGTGAGGTGGCTGACTGTGTGTATTATGCTCTGAGGCTCTCAGCAGGCTTGTGTGGATGACTTTACATCCACTTACCTTTGAGCAGATCTCGTGTAAACTTGTGGCGATGGCTTTTGCTGGCGTGTCACATCGAAACACATGACATTTCAGAATTCTGGTGTCTTTGTCTCTTGCCACATATGCAAAGTCTCTGCGCAAACAAAATGAATTGACACATTAGAAGCAGTAATACCTGCAGTCATCTGTCCTTTACCATGTGTATGTTTCAGCTATTAGAGAATAAAACACATCTTAGACAATGCAGATCTTCAAATTTAATACAGTGCATACCTATGAAAAACTACATAAGCGTTGATGAGTTATCTGTATAATTAAACAGCTCATTACAATTTCATAACAATTTATTGAACATAACACCCATAACTCCAAAAGCAACTGTAAATACATAGAAAAATACATACTTACTAAAGGCAAAGGAGAAAGAATTAGAGGATAAGACTAAAAACACATGCAGCTTTTAAATGCTAAAAAAATGAAAAATGGCAAATGGTGGTCTAGATAGAAAAAGAATGCATTTAGAAGGACTGTATAAAAGTGTTTAAAACATGCAGATAGTAATTAGAGATCTGGTTGCATAAGGGAGATGTGAACCTGCTGAGTTTTGCTCAAAGTAATTGGCCTAAATATCTAACCTTATTTTTTCAAAAGTTAAATAAGGATTCCCTATGAAAGAGATTTTCTACACTGTTCCAACTAGTCGCCTTGAGTACAGTCTTCTAAAGTCAGTATGGTGCTTCCTCGTTCTCAGGCTGTTTAAGTGCTGATGTGCTTCTGAAGAAGCCAAAGCATGAGCACGGTGTAAAGAAAGCAACAGGGTTGACATGTTCCATTTAGATACTGAATTCAGGGCTGTCTCTGCTCCAAGAGCTCATCACTCTCCCTGTAGTGCTAATTTGCTTCATGACCCTCCTGGGATGGAGGCTAATTCACCCTTTCACAGAGGAGGAACCCGAAGCTGGTTCTACAGCACAGGAAAGCACGCCAGGATGCTGATGGCTGATGGAGAGCTGGACTTCCAGCCCCACACTGGAAGCAGGAGCACTACCCTGAAGTTCAGTACATTTCCTGTATTTAGTGTGGCAGCACTACGTTTTGTCTGTGATGAATCCTCACAACAAAGAAGTGGCTGCCCCTCGCCTGGATGCTTACAGACAGGTTGGAGCTCTTCCTCTGCTTTGGTGTGCCTGTATGTGTGACACAGGCACCTACAAAGGGACAGTGCTGGAGTAACAACATAGGCATGTCTTAATCCAATGACTCATGACTTGTGGCAAACCCCACAGCAATAATCCCAGAAGAGGTTGTCTGTTAAGATGCCTGGACGTCTTGCAGCTCCAGCCCCACTCCCAGTACTTCAGCCACAATCTACAAGAGCCTTTCAGCACTTTCTTCCCTTTTGCTGCACTGCAAGTTCACCGAGACACTGAGCATCCTGGGAATAACTGAAGCATTTTTTCTACACAAGCAAAGCCTTGCTTTAGAAGGGCTCCTTCCTTCCTGAACACTTTGAAAATAAAATAGAGATTTCCATTTGGAATTGTATGCAAAACAAATGTGCTGGCTGTGATCTTAGGCACAGGCTAGCGAAGATGCACAAGCAAGCAACCTGCTGCATATACCTCATTGCTGGATCAAGGCCTGTTCTTTTGGAGTGACAATGGCTATTTATCACTATTTGGAAGCATTAACCTCAAATCGATAAAAGCCCTTCAAGGATGTGTAAATGAATGATTTACGGGTTCCTTTACAAGAAGAGTAGTTGTATACCCTGCATTGCTTTGCTGAATTGCTTGTGCTGTGCAGATCCCCATTCAAATAAATAGAAACCTGGAGCTCAAGGAACACTGTGAAGCATCAGGATGAGATCGGGCCATCACATGTGAGGGGCTGCACAGACAGAGCATAACTTGCACCTCCTGGTAGCTTAAAAGCTATTAGCTAGAAACTTGTCATTAATAAAAATAAGATGGGACAAAGCAAGTATTGGAGGTTTGGATGACATATTACATTGCCAGCCAAATCCAAGTTCAAGCAGCCTATGAATGGCTGGTCTGACTTTTGCCTAGCAGTGAAATGACAGAGCTGGTAGGCAAAGCCTTCACACACGTCAGGAAGCACTCTGCACCACAGATGTCTTCATGCTCCTACTGCTTGCTCTGGCATTTGCCCAGGGATACCAGGAAATGCCTTCTTCACCCTGTGAAATCCTACTCAGGCACCATCAGCCTGAAGGAGCAGGAAAAGCAGCCCTTCGCTGAGATGCTGTGTGTACCATGCAGCCAGGAGGCCTCAGCCTCAGACAGTGGTGTCTGTTCCTGCTGCTACAGTAAATATTCCTGAATTAACAGGACACGTGTATAAGCCAGGTTGTGTAAAATTACAGTGCAATTACAGCAGCGAATGAGACACCAGCTAGCACATCAATCTTGACTGCTGAGAGCTAATAAAGCCCGTGCAGTGGTGGTTGAGACACACGCACCAGTGCCTTACTTTAAATACCTGAACAGCTTGAACAAAGTAAATCAGCTAATTACATATGGAAATTGTGAACATGCATAAACCTTTAGATGATCATCTGTAAGCCTGCTGAGGCAGAGAAGGAAATCCAAGCTCCTCAAAACCAATGGCAGTGTATCACACACAACCCTGCCAGCACCAGCTGTTTCCAAGTCATCAATCAAAATTAGCAAGCACATCATCCACTTCTGTTTTGACAGAGCACAAACAATACCACCAATTCCCTTAATTCCTGAAGTCACCTACCTGCCACGCTCTGAGAAGCACCTCAGGAGACAGGCTGGCAGCAGGGACCTGGTGCAGCCTGGTGTTGTGAAGCACAGGGAGAGCAGAGCTCTCTGGGAAGAAGGGCATGGCTTTGATCACTCTGTAGTAGCTGCTCCCAAAACCGTGGCTAACAGAATAAAACTCTGGAGCAACATTTCCCTTCACAGGACCAGAAGGCAACAATTTATCTGTCCAAAGCCTTGAATACCAAGTAAGCCCCAAGACTGCTCTCTGATGCTTCTTCTACTTCAGATCCCTTCTGGGTCGCTTACTCTGTAAACCTTCATTCCACAGCAGCTCACTTGAAGCTGATTAACATTTAAGTGAGATTTATGGGCAACCAGCCCCTTCAATAATGAAGAAGTGCTGAGTAACGTGCTTGCAATAGAAATTTATGGAAAAGGGCAAATACCTCCTCACACCGTTCCCTTGCCTTTACTTCTTGCTAGGAAAACAAGAGAAAGAATAAACTGAGAAGCCTTTAAGAAATTCAGGGAAGGATACAAAGTTGCACAGAATGAACAGATCCCCATCTAGATCCCCATCTCATCCAGATGGAGTCTTCCCGTTCTCCGTGGGATGTGGGCACACGTGAAATTAGCAGGATTTAAACCACAGCTTCCAGTACAATTCCCTTCATGTCAGTGGGGAGAGCAGCATGACGTTGAGTGGAAGAACAGTGTATTGCATCTCTATATTCCCTCAAGTTCACAGCACAAGCAGATCGTTTCTGTTGGTATGGCATTATAGAGAAGGGCCAGGATTTATTTTTTAACCATTTGCACATATAGTACCTTATCCACTAGTACATTTCAGGACATAGGAACTTGCTGTAAATTAGTAGTCTGGAAAAAGCCAGAAAACAGATAGAAAGTGCATTTTGTTGCACAAGCAGGTAAGACTGGCTCTGCTGAATAGTTTAAAATACAACTGTGAGACATTTTAAAAAGCAATTAGAGAACTGCAAAGATAATGTAAGGTGCTAAGTGGAATGGAATTTCATTTTTATTTGCTCCTTTACCCTCCTTAATTGGCAAATGTCTACAGTAATTGACTAGAACTTAGATAGCCATACCTATTTAACACCTGGCTAGGCATCACTTAGCTGCTCAACCCTGGATGAATATAATCACACTAAATGTGATTTATGCTAATGCTGTTCTGTTTGAATAGCAGTCATGGCCATTTGCCACTATTAGGCTATAGTCCTAGGAGACATCCCAATTAAGTATGGCCTGAAAAAACATCACATTCTCCACTGCCTTTTCTTACTTTTCCAAAGGACTGTAGAATTTTATTAACCCTTATTTAAAAAAAAAAAAAAAAAAAAAAAAAAAAAGCAAGCCAAGCCTTGAATCCGGAAATAAGAAAATTTCTACTTTTACCAATGATAATTGCAGGTATTTAGAACAACTGTATTAAAATAATACATATGCAAGAAAATGTAAATTGCTTTGCAGATTTATGTACCACAAATTTTAACAAGAATCCTTGAAGAAGAAAATGATATCCTCTAGGCTCAGCTTAAAATTGATTCAAATTCACCTAAAAGTGCCTCCAGAAAATGACTATTTCTATGTAAGTGTGCACTTGCTCCTGTGGGATCAAAGAGCACACCCTGCTGGGCTGCAGTGAAACAGGCTCCTGAGCCCATAATCTTCAGATTTTGCTTTGCTTTACTGCAAACAGCTGCCCAGAGATTTGTGGAAAAGAAAGGAGAAAGGGGAGAGGGGAGGGTTGTGGAAAAAAAAGAGAAAGAAGGAAAAAGGGGGAGAGCAGCAGGCACAATGGCAGAGTAGGGTCAGGAGCCGTCTGGCAGGAGGCTGCCATTCACACACAGTGGATAGACAACACAGTGTCCATGAGAGCAGAATAAATGAGCAGAGAAGGACAAAAGCAAGGAAAGTGAGAGAGGTCATACGGGAAGAAAAGGGGATAAATTTTAACACCAACAAGCTCATTCTTTCAAGAGGCTTTTTCCAAGACACAAGTATTCTAATGTCACAAATGGCAAGCAAGGTTAGGTGCAGGAAACCATGCAGCAAAGATGCATTACAAAAATTTAAAGATCTTCTGGTAATTCTAAAAATGTACAAAAGCTTTGCAATTCTTCACTCCAACAGCTCCAGCTTGCAGAGCTCTTGCTGCCCAATTCCAACCCAGTATAGCAGGCAGGTCCACCAATACACATCCTGGTCACGAGTTTCTGGCCTAGGTAGTTAAGGTCCTCTCTGAAGCAGAGACTTCTAGGAGTCTTTTCTTATTTCAGTCCTCACAGAACTTAAAAAAAAAAAAAAAAAAAAAAAAAAAGCATACCCTTGAAACAATAAATCAGTTCTGCATTTA